TGAAGAAGTACTTCCTTTTATCCGTTCTAACCCGACCACTCTGCAGTTTCATGGAGTGCCCACGAGTTCTTGTATTGTGAGAAAGGGAGAAAAGTACCTCTTTCTCTACCTGCTCTTTCCCATGCATAATCTTATAAACCTCGATCATGTCACCCCTCAGTCGTCTTTTCTCCAAGCTAAAGAGCCCTAAGCGCTTTAACCTTTCCTAATCCAGGGAGAATGGAGTGTGTTTGAATCCTATTGGAATTAACGGGGCACAAACACAGGGTTCAATATGAACACATGAAGCTGCCTTGCCCTGAATCAGACCCCGGGTCCATCAAAGCCAGCATTGTCTACTCAGACTTGGCAGCCGCTCTCCAAGGTCTCAGGCAGAGGGTCCTTCACATCACCTACGATCAGATCTTTTCACTGGAGATGCTGGGGATTGAGCCTTGGACCTTCTGCATACTAAGCAGATGCTCTGCCACTGAGCCACAGCCCCTTCAACACACTCTGAGCAGGGTTGCACTTTCCACTGTCCTTAGTGTTGCCAACCTCCAGGTAGTGGCTGGAGATTTCCTGGGACTACAGCTGATCTCCAGGTGACAGGGATCACTTCACCTGGAGAAAACGGCCGCCTTGGAAGGTAGACACTACGGCATTATACCCCATTGAAGTCCCTCCCTTCCCCAAACCCCACCCTCCTCAGGCTCAACCCTCCAAATCTCCAGGTATTTCCAAACCCGGAGTTGGCAACCCTTCCTGTACTTCCCCTTATACTGCCCTGGAAGAAAGTTACTTTGGCCTCGGCCACATGGGCAGGAAAATGTGGGGTGAGGCGTGGCTGTTTGCCCCGGAGCAAACTAACGTGCGACTGCGCGATCAGGCGTCGGGTTGAGGTCCCGTCGAGCTCCCGTGGTTAGGGGGGAGGTGCCAATCACACAACGTGGCAAAGAAGCGGAGCGGCACAGCAACCGGGGTTGTGTTTTTTTAAAAAAAAAACTGAAATGTGCGCATGCTCCGTTGGGTGTTTGTGCGCATCCGTGGAGACTTGGAAAAAAACCCCTTTTTGCGAGGGGACATGGGCGGGCGCTGGAACTACCACCGGAAACGCAATCAGACGCCCGCCCTTGCCCCGCGGTTTCCGGAAACTAGAACCTCTGAGGTACTAGTTTTTTACCCCGTATCTTCGGCGGGTGGCCTCGGGTGCGCCACGGGAGCTCTACGCTTCCCAGATGTGGCGGTGAGATCGCGCCCGGAAAATCCACCTATCTTCCGTCTCTCTAGCGTGCCTAATGCTCCATGTGACTGAGGCCCCTGTTGGTCTGAAGCAGTAGAACAAATTTAGAGTCCAGTGGCACCTTTAAGACCTGCAAAGTTTTATTCAAGATTTGAGCTTTCATGTGCAAGGCACACTTTTTCCAAGTAAAAACACGGGAGTCTCACAGAACAGAGTATAAGTAGGAAAATTCAAGACAAAATGTATACTCACTAAATCCCTCAGTTACCTTGGCATTACTGTCAGAGAAATGGACCCAAGAAACCTGGGAGTTTAGCAAAATTCACCTCCATTTGCCCGTGTCCATGTGCATATACTGAGTGAGCTGCACATTTCACTCCTTCCTCCCCACCTGGGAAGGGCTTGGGGGTTGAGTTGCCCACGTCCCACAAACCAATCTTTGACAAACCCATAGGGTTTTAGGACCTCAGGCATGTAAAAAGTAATCCCTCCTGAAGAGCCAGTTTGGTGTCGTGGTTAAGTGTGCGGACTCTAATCTGGGAGAACCGGGTTTGATTCCCCACTCCTCCACTTGCAGCTGCTGGATGACCTTGGGCAAGCCGTAGTTCTGGCACAGCTGTTCTTGAAAAAAGAGCAGTTTCTGTCAGAGCTCTCTCAGCCCCACCTACCTCACAGGGTGTCTGTTGTGGGGAGGGGAAGGGAAAGGAGTTTGTAAGCCGCTCTGAGACTCCTTTGGGTAGTGAAGGGCGGGGTATAAATCCAATCTCTTCTTCTTCTTTTACCTCACAGGGTGTCTGTTGTGGGGAGGGGAAGGGAAAGGAGTTTGTAAGCCACTCTGAGACACCATTGGGGGGGCGGGGTCTAAATCCAATCTCTTCTTCTTCTTCTTCTTTCCTTTTTTTTTTCTAGAACACAATTTTATTTTTTCATGAAAATATTGACATGTCATCAGTTCCATTAATGTTTCAATTTTTACCCCCAATATCCCCACTTTACTCTCCCCCTCCCCGTGGCTTCCCGCAATGCTTCCCCCCTCGTCACTCCAGTACACCTTAAGATAACATCATATTCTAGTTTCAATATTGTTCTAAATATAATAGATTGTGCTTTACATCCCAGTTCTTCTCTAGGTAAATTTTAAAGTCTCTCCATTCCTCATAGAATTCCTGATCTTCTTTGTTATTCAATTTTTTCGTAATTTTGTCCATCTCAGCCATAAACAAAGTTTTTTGTATCCATTCTTCTTCTTTCCTGACAGGGCAGTTGCTCTCCACCCATTTGATTGGGTCAGTTCCTTTGAGCATAGCATGGGGATTTTATGGTTAATATCATAGAGGAATGCACATTTTCCTGGGCCTTGCTGATCCATAACAATGACAATAGAATGCAGCAGGGTCCCTCTGCTTGTGTTTCCACGGAGGCAAACCCACTTTTTAGAATGCTAGCTATGATCACTGCCACAGGGTCTAGATAGGTTCAACCAGCCTGCAAAAATCCCTTTGCACAATTCCTCCCCAATTCCTCCTCTGTTCTTTTTCAAGTCGCTGGCAAGTCAGCAGCACAGATATTATGGTGGGATGAACGCTATTGGTCTGAAGCGGTAGAGCAAAGTTTGAGTCCAGTGGCACCTTTAAGACCAACTAAGCTGTATTCAAGTTCAAACATTGAATACAACTTTGCTGGTCTTAAAGGTGCCACTGGACTCAAACTTTGGGATATGTTGTGTTTTGGGTTCTTGAAAATCTGACGAGCAATCAGAGAGAGGTTTGGACTCTGGGGGTTACTTTTGTTCCGATGATCTATAAAATGTCACACATCCTCAAGAATCAGTTCTTTCTCATTTCTCTGGTATCTGCAGAGAACATAAATGTCCGATTTTTCTTTCCTTCTCGTCCTGTGGGCTTGAAGCTGACACACCTCACGGAATTGGCTCTTTTCTAGGATAATTGTGAAATCCTTTTAGGGTGGACTTCCCACTCAAGAATTTCTTCTTGTTCACCTTGGACAGCTCCTCTGATCAAAACCTGATCTATGGACGATCCAGTGAGGAATCGGAGGGAGGTTTGTATTCTGGGGGTTATTTTTTAATCCCCTACCCCAATTGGTTGATCCTATAGTTTCATATTTCTAGATTCGGATGGGTAGCCATGTTAGTCTGAAGCAGCAGAAAAAAGTTTGAGTCCCGTGGCACCTTTATGACCCACCAAGTTTTATTCAAGGTAAGCCTTCATGTGCATGCACACTTCTTCAGATATATTGGCCCATTCTGCATTTAGCATTCGCTCCGTGGTTTTACCAGACCCACACTGGAACAGAAAAAGAGGTGTCCCAAAACCACAGTTTGGTGTAGTGGTTAAGTGCATGGACTCTAATCAGGAAGAACAGGGTTTGATTCCCCACTCCTCCACTTGCACCTGGCTGGATGACCTTGGGCAAGCCGTAGTTCTGATAAGAGCTGTTCTTGAAAAAGAGCAGTTTCTGTCAAGAGCTCTCTCAGTCCCACCTACCTCACAGGGTGTCTGTTGTGGGGAGGGGAAGGGGGAGGAGATTGTAAGCCGCTCTGAGACACCTTTGGGTAGTGAAGGGCTGGGTATAAATCCAATCTCCTCCTCCTCCTCCTCCTCCTCTTCTTCCTCCTCCTCCTCTTCTTCCTCCTCCTCCTTCTCTTCTTCTTCCTCCTCCTCCTCCTCTTCTTCTTCCTCCTCCTCCTCCTCTTCTTCTTCCTCCTCCTCCTCCTCTTCCTCCTCCTCCTCCTCCTCTTCTTCTTCCTCCTCCTCCTCTTCTTCTTCTTCCTCCTCCTCTTCTTCCTCTTCCTCCTCTTCCTCCTCTTCCTCCTCTTCCTCCTCCTCC